TGTATCCTACATTTCCTCATAAGTTGCAATTCTTCCTTCATTCTTTAATTAGAAGAATCTCGCTTTGTAATCGGTCATAGTTGTCGGTAATCTGATTTTAGATTATTTCAGTATGGATTTTATAAAAGTTGGTTATATAATAAATTGTGTTTGGCTTGTATTTATCGATAGGAAAATATTAATCAGGGCACTTTCTAAGTAAATTCTATGTAATAAATTATGTTTTTTTTTTCTTATTAGTGATGTATCTATATTTCTGAGATGATGTATTATGTACACTATATACATAATTCGGACTATTGTCCTCATCTTTGCTGCCATATTTATCACAATCGTTTCCGGCTTCTTTAGATGGTTGGAAAGTTGAACTGTGCCCTTTATTTGGCTCACTGGGGGAGACTGTTCTAGTTCCACGTGCCATGTTTAATGGATGTCAGTTATCAGTTATCTCCTGTTAATTTCCCTCTGAAAGTTCTGCACTGCTTTAACCAGGTATTGAACTCTTTGGGTGCTGTCACTGGATCTACCTAACGCATTTATCCACTGTGCCATGTGTCCTTGAAGACATCTGCGTATGAATTTCTGGGTATTATAAAACTAATGTCTTCAGCATCATTTTTTACCAGTGCTCATATCCATTTCATGTTATTACCAGAGCTCATATTGCAATTTACTTTGATATTATCGCTTTTATCTGGTACTCCTTATTATTGTTTCCCATATTGTATTTATTTCTATGCTTGGTCGGCTCAGGAGATTTTTGTGGCCTAGCATATGTGATGATTCCTTTACAAATTTTCCAATGAAAATCAAGATGTTATTTTTTAAATCAAAGTTATGATCTGTTATGTTTCGGTGTTATAATCGAATTTAGAGTGTTGTTTCAACGTAGGTCTCCGTTCCATTATTTTTGTAGATGCTGACTACACGCACTAAAAAGAATCAAAAAAAAAAAAAACACCTATAGTAAAATAAAATTTATATGAAATGCCATAAGATGTAGGCTTTTGAATGACCCATGTCCTTTGTACTTACACGAGAAACATTATATTACTAGGTTTATATATAAAGTAAAAGTTTACTAAATCATGAAATTAAGTAACCATTTTTGCCGTCATAGTCATCATAAATTTAATAAAAAAAAAGAAAGATGTAACCTCATATACATACTTAAACTTGAATTAATACATAAAGTTTACTAAATCTGAGAAATGGCTTAGATAGTTTTGTAGTCAGTGCCATTAATTTTACTTAAATAATATCTAAATAAAAAAGTTTAAAAATTGTAATTTACATATACTTTGATATGGAAAAATAATTTTACTTACTATGAGTAATTATCCTTCTGTTATAAAGTAATATAGTCTATTAAAACTAACAATGAAAATATTTTTAAAATTTTAAAGTTGTAATTTTAAAATTGTAATTAAAATTGTAGTTAAATAAAATGGATTCTAACCTGTTCTTTATACATACATATGAAACTTTATTACTTAGGTTACATATATTTGAAATAAATAAATTAATTAATTAATAAATAAAGTTTACTAAATCTGAGAAATGACTTAGCTAGTTTTGTAGTAAGTGCCATTAATATTACTTAAATAATATTTAAATTTAAAAGTTTAAAAAAAAAAAAAAAATTGTAATTTATATATACTTTGATATGGAAAAATAATTTTACTTACTATGAGTAATTTTCCTTCTGTTATAAAGAAATATAGTCTATTAAAACTAAACAATGAAAATATTTTAACATTTTAAAGTTGTAATTTTGAAATTGTAATTAAAATTGTAGTTAAATTGAATGAATTCTAACCTAAATTTCTTTTAAATAATACTACACGCACTAAAAAGAATAAAAAAAAACACCTATAGTAAAATAAAATTAATATGAAATGCCATAAGATGTAAGCTTTTGAATGACCCATGTCCTTAGTACTTACATGAGAAACATTATAATACTAGGTTTATATATAAAATAAAAGTTTACTAAATCAGTGAAATTAAGTAACCATTTTTGCCGTCACAGAAAAAAATAAAAAAAAAAAAAAAAAATGTAACCTCATATACATACTTAAACTTGATGTTAAAATAATCCTGCATAATATAATGGATTCTAATACATTTAACTGTCCTTAAAAAGAATATAGTAAAATAAAAATTAAAAAGGAGAATATTTCAAATCGTAGTTAAATAAAAAGTATTAGGAAAAAAAAAAAAAAAACCCGAAAATCTTTAAATTTAATAAATGACGTTGAAATTTTTTTACCGTTAACAATTTAAAAAAAAAAAAAATTCAGACGACATCCATTCAACTGATGTCAGGTTTCATTGTAAAATACATCCCTACCCCTTACCAAATTGTAGCTAATAACTGATACAATGATACTGACATAAGGAAAATCTAGGCATCCCTTGTTCAATTTAAGTAGAATATTCTGTAACCATGGAAACGTGATTTTAGCTGTGTCTTTAAAACCCGGTAATTTTTAAAAGTTACTCCAAAATTCGCTTGAAGATGAAATGGAACTAATGCTTTTAATTTAATTGCAAAATTAAATTCGGGGTTTTTAGCTTCTATTTTTGAAACATGGTTGGAACTGTGTAGCGAAAAAAACCATATTTTAAATCAATTAATTTATAATATTAATGCTCTGTAAATTTACATTGAGCACTATTTTGTAAAAATAAAAATATCTATAAGAACACCGGATTTTATATCTTACTGTTCCTTCTTTTTATTTATATACAGACTTTTAGGTTTTTGAATGTTTCACTGATATAGCTCTGCTGATTAGTGACCGTTAAAACATAAACTGCCATTCTGTACAGTAGTTAACAAGGTCTTGCTTTTTCAATGAGAGGAATCAAACGAATTTTTTAGAAATGTTATACTACTATTTATTTTTTAAATATTTTGACAATTCGCCCAGCTCTCGAAACAGAAAAACAGACAAATGTTAAATAACCGAAATTAAATAAAATTAAATCTTTTAGCTTAATATTTTTCATAGCGGATGTAACAGCAAAATTGTCCAAATCGTATAACAGCATAATTGTTCATCACACAAAATGTTTAATATCTAAAAAAAACACTAAAATAATTTGGTTTCTAGGACCAGTTTTTCAGTTAAGAAGTTTAGCCATCTTGACACATTTTATCGTAAGAATCATTTAAAAAACTCTTTAATTTATTCAGCTAGAAAGATAACAGTCTAAATCGTTTGGTGTCAGCCCCACTGTCTTCTCACTGTCAATGGTGAGAGGAAAAAGATCATACTGGCCTTCAGTAATGGTACCAACATTCATATTCTGGCATCCATCTTCAATGTCCATTCAAGAGCAATCAAGAGAATGGTGAATAAGTTTTAAAAAGAGGGAACAGTAGAGAGGAAAACCGGATCAGGAAGTCACAAGAGGAAGAGGGATCATCATTTCAACTTAGAGCTAAAGAGATAAATTAGAAAAGATCCAAGATCCAACTGAATCCATAAGACGTTTGGCGCGTAAGAGAGGATTTTCATCGATGACAGTCCAAGGAACAGTGAAAAAAACTTGAAAATGAAATTGTACGTGAAACCAGTGAGGCAACATGTTACTCCAGGACAGAAAGTTAGAAGGTTACAGCAGGCGCCAAGATCATCTGTAATAAATTGTAAAGTGATCCTGGAATAATATATATATATATATATATATATATATATATATATATATATATATATATATATATATATATATATAACCCGTCATGAGCTTCCAATTCTTAGCTATGATTAATTAATGATGAACATGTCATTTTCGTTTATGATAGATTTAATCACGATTCTTCTGTTAAGGGTGGAGAGTAATTATACATTCTCATTGCTCAAACTAGAATACAATAGTGTTATAAAAACCTCGGAAATTCCAGTAAGATATCTTTAATCATTTCTAATATACAACGTTTCAAATTCAGTCATTAATTGCCAAATGGACAATTTTGCTTTTACACGATTGGGACAATTTTGCTGTTATACCTGCTATATCAGAGTTGTTTTGTAAAGCTTATAGCTTTTCACACACACACACACACACACACACATATATATATATATATATATATATATATATATATATATATATATATATATATTGGTTTGGAAATATTTGGGCTGATAATTTCTTCCTCATGCCGTTACACACACACACACACACACACACACACACACATATATATATATATATATAATTTATTTTTATTTACAAGAACTATTTTGTACATTTCTTGCGGTTATTTTTTCAGACAGTTTTTTTCGGTATTATGTACCATTTTAGCAATCGAGCAGAATTATGGCCGAATTAGCCAAGTCCGACTCAATATATACATATTCACACTCACACACACACACACACACTCTCTCTCTCTCTCTCTCTCTCTCTCTCTCTCTCTCTCTATCTTTCTCTATCTTTCAATCTTTCTCTCTTTGAATAATCGATAACGTCCTAAATTGTTGTAATTAGCAAGATTTTGGAAAGTGGGGTCAGGTGGTGAGGGAGAGGATTAGCGTTCTGTGTTTGGGGCGGATCGAAGGCAAAGGAGGTTCAGAGTAGCGAGATTAATCGGTCGTAATTATCGCGAGGTGGAAAATGACTGTCTGTTGACGAAATAATTTCAGGTTTACACCACCGCAATCATCAACACCACCGCCGCCACCACCACTAAATGGAAGTGTAAATCTGGTTTTGTATATTGATTGTTTACCTGACGTTTTACTATTGTTTATCGGTCAGGAGAAGAGATGGTTGGCAAATGACAGAATCAAGAAGAGTGAGCCCCCATCTGACTTACCCGTGTGGCAAATTTCAGGTTACACCTGATGTGAATTACCCAACGGTGACTTAAGGCCACGTTCCATTTATCCGGCGGTAGGATTCAACCGATTTCAAATTACCATTGGCGTAGCTTGATTGCGATTACAATATATACATTACGATTTCAGAGAACTATTTATTTTAACATGGACATAATCATATACTTGCGTTGGAAATATTAAATAATGCTATGTAAGTTTGCTTATATCATCTAAGTTGCCCATATCTATCTATCTATCTATCTATCTATCTATCTATCTATCTATCTATCTATCGATCGATCATTCTATCTATCTTTCTCAGTCTGTTCATTAGCTATCTATCTATCTAAGTTCGCTCGTAGCCATTTATCTAAGTTTGCTCGTATCTATCTATCTATCTATCTATCTATCGATCTATCTATCTATCTATCTATCTATCTATCTATCTATCTATCTATCTATCTATCTAATGGTTGCTCTTATCTCTCTATCTATCTATCTATCTATCTATCTATCTATCTATCTATCTTAGTTTGCTCATAGACATCAATCCATCTATCTATCGATCTATATATCTGTTTGATCATATGCAAGTTTGCTTATATACATATATCTAAGTACCTCATATCTATCTATGTTTGCTCATATCTATCTATCTATCTATCTATCTATCTATCTATCTATCTATCTATCTATCTCTAGATAGCTATCTGTGTAAGATTACTCATATCTATCTAAGTTTACTTCTATCTATCTATCTATCTATCTATCTATCTATCTATCTATCTATCTATCTATCTATCTATCTATCTGCATCTGTTTATATCTATCTTTCTTACAAGTTTTGACCGCTATTTCAATGTGTTCCTATCTATCTATCTATCTATCTATCTATCTATCTATCTATCTATCTATCTATCTATCTAATGAAAATGTGTAACGAAAATGTGTAAACGGTTTGCAGAACAGGGATGACGAAAGATAGTGAAAAAGAAAACTTACTAAGAGCGACAAAGGAGAGGATGTTGGTCAAAGTAATTATCGACTTTGCCTTTGGCGGCACAGAGGTGAAACAAAATAGACATGATTTGCCCAGTACTTCACCATGTGGCTGCACCTTCAAATCGTCAGGCAGGTTTCATTGACGATCATAATTTCTTGTGATTTACATGTGTATAAAGGTATTTTATTATGATATTGTAAATATGAACCAGACAGATAGTTAAATAGACACCTTCAAATGGTGTATGAATCAAGCTTTTTCAGCTGGTCCCAATGTTGAGTCATCGGCATAAACAGTACCAGTCCCAAATTGCTTCGGTCTCCCGTTGCGTGGATTCTTGTCCAATACAACTCTACCTTTTCAGATATTAGTAATCCATTCGTGACACACATAACTTTCAATCGGACCTTATATGTGGGCTTCATTATTCGTTTCCTTCGATCCTACTAATGTCTTGCCCAATTTAGAAAGGATCAACTTACAATGCCGTACATGTATCATGTCATGTCCGCCGCCATCTTGTCAGCACAAATGGAGATTGAATACAGTACACACCAAATCGGGTTCCAATTAGTAATTTAGTTTCTTACAAAGAAAAGAGGACACTGGGCATCAATTGCTATTCACCGAGTTAGCCATTCAGTTGCTTTATAACTATTACTTTCAGTTCGCATTATTTTCGTTCACAAATACGTATTTAGGTATCGTCAATATATATATATATATATATATATATATATATATATATATATATATATATATATATATATGAAAATTTCTCCGATTTAACCAGTAGAGAAGACAATATTTATGAATAAAAATGACAATATGAAAAACTAGTAATTGCTGACGCTTTTCGTCCAATGTGGACTTTATCAAATGATATCAAATGATATTGATTTCGTATTTTACTTTGATAAAGTCCACATTGGATGAAACGCGTCAGCAATTACTAGTTTAACTATCGTCATTTTTATTCATATATATATATATATATATATATATATATTATATTCAGTATCGTCAAGTGTGTATATATATATATATATATATATATATATATATATATATATATATATATGAAGAAATATAGTTTTAAGATGTGGTATATTTATGGGATGAAGTGCTCAATATCAGAGTAATTATAAAAGTGAACATTTAAGTCAACACTCAGAGGCGGCAAGCTTTTAATGCTAGAAGTAATCGTCAGGCCGATATATATATATATATATATATATATATATATATATATATATATGAAGACCGCGGTAGTTTTCTTTAATATTGTCTATTACTAAATATCATTCTCTGCGACCTATATACGTATCAATTCTTTTTATAGTTCTACCAAAACTGAATATCTATCTCAGTCTTTTCACTATATATATCTATCTGTCTGTAATTTTCTTTCTCAATTTACTCATATAAAATTGTTCATTTCGAACAGCCACAACCTGTTCTGTTCACGTAATGATCCCGGGCAATACAGAACTCTCTTTCTAACAGGAAATAATCTTTCACTGATTATTCGCCGAGGTTGTTAAAGGAGTGGATAAGCGGCAAGAAGTACAGCCAGACAGTCTGATGTGGTGGGGGAAGGTGTTCGCACTTTTATGAATCCATCTTCCTATTCACCCGTCTTTAAAGAAATAAAAAGCAAGATTTATCGCCCCTGATTCGGCTGGGATGGTCCGTTCCCCGGAGACAAGGCTGGCCGTATAGGATTCGACGAATAATATCTAGACAACGGTAATGATGTCGACATCATTGGTTCACAAAACATCGACAATTTCCGATGACTGATGTTAGAACAATCAATAAACGAGGCCAGAGTAGTAATTGACAAACAATAGGATAATGAGATAGATAGATGTGAACAGAATGAGGTAGACAGATAGATTGATACATAGATGCATAGATAGATAGATACATATATACATAGATAGATAGATAGATGTGAACAGAATGAGATAGATATGAACAGAATGATATATTTTTATATATATATATATATATATATATATATATATATATATATATATATATATATATATATAGAGAGAGAGAGAGAGAGAGAGAGAGAGAGAGATGGACAGAATAAGATAGATGTAGCTAATATATATATATATATATATATATATATATATATATGTATGTATAGTTAAGTTATATATATAGTTAAGTTATGTAATTAGAATGTCTGACGCTTAACTTCTCGAGAGCAACTCTCTGCGGCTTCTCGGTCTCAGGTTGACTGCTGACCTGAGATGGAATAAATACATGGAGTCAATTGCCTCGTCCACTGCAAGGAAAGTTGGCTCCCTGAGCCGCGCTAGGAAGTTTTTCTTCCCGGAGTCGATCCTCCAGATCTACAAATCAACACTTCGCCCTTGCATGGAGTATTGGGTCTAGGTCTGGTGCCCCTTCTGTTTGCCTCGGGGTTCTTGATAGGCTCCAGAGGCGGATATGCAATATAATTGGCCCTGCTCTGGCATCTCGTCTACAGTTACTTTCTTACAGACGCGCCGTCGCCTCTCTCTGTCTGTTCTACAAATACTTCCATGGAAATTGCTCCTAGGAGCTGCATTCGCTGGTTCCCAGACGTCACGAGTTCCAGCGCCTCACGAGACTGGCATCCCGCTCTCACCTCTTCACTGTCGAAACTCCTAAATGTAGCCGTCTCTTCTACTCTAATAGCTTCATGTCTCGCACCTCTCGCCTGTGGAACTTCCTTCCCTTTTCCTGTTTCCCTGTGAGCTATAATCTCCAGCTATTCAAGTGTAATGTCAATCGACATCTCCAGTTGCCTTGATCTATCCACTACCCTCATCCTTTCTTCTATCACTCCTATCTGATCTTGCTCTAAACTTTCTGTAACCCCTTGCGTCCTAGTGGCTTCCCGCCTTGCTTGGGGTGAAATGCTTAAAAAAAAATGTTTAAATGTAGACATAAAAAGAGCTTTAACTAAATATATTTAGAAAGGAAAATATGTATTTTTAGTTTTGGAAATGATATGTACACATGAGTACGATAGATAAATAAATGTGAACAGAATGATTATATATATATATATATATATATATATATATATATATATATATATATAGAGAGAGAGAGAGAGAGAGAGATGAATGAACATAATGATATAGATACTACATAGATAGATAGATAGATAGATAGATAGATAGATATGAACAAAATGAGATAGATATGAACATAATGATATATATATATATATATATATATATATATATATATATATATATAGATAGATAGATAGATAGATAGATAGATAGATAGATAAGAAAAGTGTAGAATAAAGGTGATAATTTTCGCACAGAATATGAAGACGAAAGACAGTGAAACAAGTTAAAAATATTGAGTAATAAGGAGAAACTATCAGAGAGACAGAAAGAATGTGAAAGGGAGAATAAACTGATAGATAGATAGATAGATAGATAGATAGATAGATAGATAGATAGATAGATAGATAGATAGATCATGGAAAACTAGCATAGAGATAATTTGAAGACTTAGATAGATAGATAGATAGATAGATAGATAGATCCACAAATATGAACTGAGATTGAGAGAGAGAGAGGAACAGACTGAAATAAATAGAGAGAGAGAAAGAGAGAGAGAGAGAGAAAGAGAGAAATGAACAAACTCAGATAGATAGATAGATAGATAGATAGATAGATAGATAGATCATGGAAAACTAGCATAGAGATAATTTGAAGACTTAGATAGATAGATAGATAGATAGATAGATAGATAGCGAACGAGAGAGAGAGATTCTAATAGATGCCGATTGTATTGTATTTCTTTATGATTTATGAACACTTTGTCTGTCATTTAAAGCCGAAATAGTTTGGGGTTTTTGAGAACATTTCTTTTATGATGCGAGTGACTATTTTTGAGGGTTGGATAAGAATAATGATTTTTCCAGATAGATGTTCTACTATTTAACCGATATCTTTGGGGAGGAGATGTATCCACACCATTCCCAAGTGTGTTTACGCATAAGTGAATGTAACGAACCCGACTGGAATTCGAACTCAACACTCCTGTTTCTGATTCTGAGCCGCTATCCATTACAATTCAATTCGAATATTCACTTGTTATGAATATAGTGAGACAGAATGCTCGGCGGGAAAAGAGAGTTGCTGGTAAAAAGAAAGAAAAATAAATTAAAGAGAGAAAGGCAGAGAAAAATAAAGCTGATAAGTATTAAAAAAAGAAGAAAATTGAGATTTTTTCTTGTTTTATGAATCGTATTATGGCTGTCCACTGCTTCCTATCTTTGGTAGCTCTTAGTAGGTACCTCCACTTTTTCGCTGAAAAATAGCATCGAATGATGAAAAATGGCCCAAAACTTAATAAAAACAAAGTTCTATCGTCAAAATGTTTATATTATTATTAAGAAGAAAGGCCAATGTATCTTTTTATTATTTTATTAAATCTTTTTAATCCTTTCTATCATGTTCGAAAATTTGGTTAAAAATCTTGTTTTTTTTGCGTTAGCGCTCGACGTAATATTTACGATTAGCGTCTTTTTCAGGTGAAAAGCACACTGATTTGGAAAATCTTATAAAAATCAACTAAGTGCCGGATTTTAATGAAACTTTTTGGACTTATTCAGAAATGAAAAAGATGGATTCTGAATTTTTTTTTTTTAAATCGGTATTTTTTTTATATCCATCTCATTACTCAATTTCATGAAATTTCGGGTAATTAAATTTTCATCCGAAAATGTTTTTTATTAGTTAAAAGCAATATTTCTTGGAGAATGTAAATCATCTTTTTTTTACTCAAATTACTACTCATACCTCCTAAATCTGGTCCAAATTATAAAACGAAATAAAACTATGACATTATTTAATTAGAAAAGGTTCTAAATGCTTTCATAAAAAAAAACACGTATTAAGCACATTATTTTCTTAAGAAAAAAAATCGATGAATAATGATTTTTTACACAAATTGTTTTCATTTTTTTTAAATTTTAACTATAATAATTTTTAATATATAAAGCTTTTAAAATTCAGCATTAATTCCATCCGGTTAGGTGACACTGATATTAAGTGAAAACTATATGTATTGATCAAAAATGAAAAAGCTTAGTATTATGTAACTTATCCCTATATGAAAGTATGGTCGAACATATATGACATTATCAGAAAATAAGAGCGATGAATATAACAAATTTAATGTCAACCTTCCTAAAATTAGATTACAGAGAATATTTCCCAATATTTTTAAGATTAATGAGTACTTGAAAATATAGAAAAAAAAGGTACTCATTCATCATTTCCTTAAATTATCGTTTAACAGATAAAGTCTCCATAGAACAACAATAAAACTGTTAATAGCATTCAGTATTTGACACAATTCATTAATTACGAAAGAATGGCTGGTGTCGGTTAAAAAATCACCGCTACTGTTTGTTTTCGAAATCTATTTCTCTGTTAGTTAAACACAGAGCAAATAATATTTTGTTCAAATCAGATTAATTACACTCTAAATGAGCTAATATTCCTCAAATAAATTTTCAGAAAAGTAGATTTTATTTTGGAAAGTTTATTTTTTAATACAGAGGAATTACATTGCGATGAAAGACGATTAAAAATCAAGTATTTTAGAAAAAAATTGAAAAATCGATTCCAATCAACATAAAATATGCCAGACTATGCTGCTTACTGAAAATAATAAATTTAATCCTTTAAGTTAAAACTAAATGGCATTTTTTCATTTATAAAAAATAATTTTAAACTAAGGTATCGAAAATTAGTGAAGTTACCTACTCTAAGTAACACTTCTCAATATTCCTGTCTATCCTTGTTCTGCCATCCATTTATATACACTTTAGCTGTTTCACTTTGGCTCTTGCCCTAAATAAACCACGTGAGTGTTAAATTCTACATTCCTTCATCCTCGTGGTCTGCTCCAGAAATATGAATTATCATTTTTTATTGTCATCATGTTTACTTTGAGTCCTAATTCATTTTAAATCATACTCGTTGCTCACGGGTTCAGCTCATGGTGTTCTCAGCATCCTTCTTTAGAATCATATTTCTATTGCCTCAAATCTATTCTTCATCTGTGAGGTGATTGTCCAGCATTCACTGCCATACAGGAGAATTGACAGTACATAGCATTTTAGCGCAGTTTCCTCTGTTATTAACGAAATTGTCCTGTTTCTTAATACTTTCTTAGCCTCGAGAAAAATGTTTTGGCTATTGCAAAGCACCTTTCGATCTGTGCGTAACATTTTCCGTCTCCTGTTACGAGTTGAATTTCTGTACCTGCTGGATTCAAATGATTTTTTTTTTACCTTGGGCTTTTTCCCTCGAGTGTGGCCATATTTTCTCCCTTCTTACAGTTTAGTAGTTAGTCCTTTAGGCAACGGGATACCACTCTCCGCAATAAATAATGGTAATACACGTTAATGGAGATAGAAAAAAATAGGCGCCAAAAGGGTGTGATAAAATTAGATAGAAAGTAAAGTAAGCGAAAGGCATAAACAACGAACGTGAAACAGAGTCAA